TACAATCGTTATGCACTAACTATCGTTCGCTAAGCGGCAAATTGAACGTAACTCATTAACAGTCGGAACCACAGAGTGTGTGTCGTCGTATCATGCGTATTCAAACCTTCCCCGGCAAACCGGGGAAGATTGAGCCAGGCTACCGCGGCTCGACTATTGAAAGTTTGTCCACAAACTATCTGGACACAATTGCCGGACATCCTGCGTGTTCACACTAGAGAGTTATGGTGAAATAGTTGGAACTCTCATGCGCGCGGCAGGGATGTAAGTACTATTGTGCCGTGCACGTTCGAGGAACCCTCTATATAAAGTCCAGAAAGAAGTGGAAAATAGAACGGTAAAAAGGAACGACAAGATTGGCGGGTTTGGAAGTCGCTATCCTGGCACGTGTTTGTCATGATTGGCCCGCTTCTTCTTATATCTGTTTCGCGTGCCAAAAATATCTTACGCTATGATTTTTCTGTCACTGCCAACGCAAGGATATCTGTATCGGTTTAAGGAGATAGGGTTCCTTCACACGACGGCGAACGGGGAAACTTCATTCGACTTGCATTACGACACTTGACTCTTCAAATATCTCGACAACCTGGCCATTTGAATATTTTCAAAATTATGAATACGATACGGGAAAAGGATATGTAGGTCAATTTCGACAAATTCGATAAGTGGTTAATTTGTGTCACATTAATTGAACGCCGCCTTTCTGAGAATGGCGGTTTTTCAAATTGCGGGCTAGAGAAAATAACGCGATTATCGATATTTTTATACTACGCTCGTCCGTGCAAATTACAAAGCAAATTAATGCTATGGAAATAAAATCCTGTTTACGGATTCGATTTATTGTCAAACGTGTCTCCCATACGGACGTGCGCGGAGTGCAAGTGTGAAACGTGTATCAAAATGTAGATAATAAACGGACTTCGTGAAAAACACCGATTGTCAATAACATATTCTGATGTTGTTATACGAGTGTCGACATGTTTCCACGCTCGGATCTCCTGTACTCTCTTAACCAGTATCGGATCTGTCTTTACAATGCTTAAATATCATCGGGAGAGAATTGTATTTAATAATAGCATATAATTTACGAAAATAAAATAATTACTTTTACACGTCAACAGCACGTACGATCGATTTAATGTCACCGTTAGACAGCAAATATGTCCCGCGAAATGAACTTTCACGTGTTTGTCCGTTGGCTTACGCTAAACTTGAGCAAAAATATTCGTTCAAAGTACACTAAGCCATTAAGGTCACTAACTTTTATTTTGCAAACATGTGCGAAGATCAACATTTTATGTTGCATTTCGCACCGAGTGTGAAAACTGAAACATCTTCATTTCTCAACGTTTCAAACAATATCTCAACATTTTATACACTCTTCTGAAAACATTTGAAATACAGACAGCAGTTAGCGTCGCAAGAGCGTAGACGCTATTTTGCGCAACAGCGCAGAAAGAGAGAGTCTACGGCTGGATGCACTTTTATGTAGGTGGGTGGAGTCCGATCTTCTTTTACTTTAATAATATTTCTCAATGTAGCAAAGCATCATATATATATGATATATATATGATATATATATATATATACATATATGTGTGTGTGTGTGTGTACACATTGTGTGTGAGTACACGCGAAATACGCCAAGCATGTACAATACTGTATTCAGGTCAGAAATGTATCCTCATAATACGCATCTTAATCCTAATACGCGTGTAATACGAGCTTCGCTTAATTCTCGCGTAAAAGGATACAAATCCGCTTCGTAGGTAGATGCACAATCGCTGCTTAATAGGCAGGTGTTATTTAGAATCAATACGTTTAGCTGCTTACAAATCGGATAATGCAGTTTACCGATCCAATTGATTGCCCCTTTCGCCATTAAATTAATACGTCGATCAAAGAGATACTGAGAGACGTATCGTCTCTTCATCGAGGTAATTTATACCATAAAGAGTACTCAAGGCAATATTAAAACATTGTGAATTTAAAACAGATATTTCATTTATAAAAAGATTGTATTTTATGCGTATTTTTGTTTATAATATAACACATACAATAACACATACAATAGTAACAGCATACGTTGACAGACGTTTGATATTCTGTTTTTTCTACTATGTAAACGATGCATATCATTTTAGAATTAAGGAGACTGGAGGGTCAGGCTGAAAATCGTGCTTGTTCTTTCACAATTTTTTATGACAAATTGAATGAATATGCGAAAGTGTTTGTGTATTTTGACGTGTATTTATATAACATATAAAGAGAAAAAAAAATATAATTTTAATAATCAAATACTCAATATAAATGTATAGTACAAGTTAAAATATATTTTGTTTTTCTTTTCGAGGTTACCATTTTGTAGTAATATCTTGACTCTCGGTGGTTCAATTAAGCTGAATTTTAGGTAAAAAATTTCTGTAAGCTTGTTATTGTGTGAACCACTGACAAACACGTGAAAATATTTAATTTTGAAATATTAATTTTTTTATTATAAAATAACTGAAAATTTAATGGTGGTAATTCAGTGGTTCAATTAAACTGAATTTTAGGTAAAAAATTTCCGTAAGCTTGTTGTTATTGTGTGAACCACTGACAAACACGTAAAAATATTTAATTTTGAAATATTAATTTTTTTGTTATAAAATAACTGAAAATTTAATAATATTCCATTAAGATATTTGCAATTTTATTAACTTTTATTCAATTTCTATTATACTGGTTCACACGATAACGACAAGCTTACGGAAATTTTCTACTTAAATTCATGTTAATTGAACCACCAAAAGCCTAGATATTATATGCAAAATAACGACCTTGAAAAGAAAAACGAAATATATTTTAACTGCATGTATCATATACACTTATATTGAGTTTTTGATCATCAAAATTATATTTTTTTTTCTTTTTATATGTTGTATAAATACACGTAAAAATAATATTTTCGCATATTTATTCAATTTGTCATAAAAAGTTGTGAAAAAACAAGCACGATTTTCGAGCAATCTGACTCTCCAGTCCCCTTGAGTATACTTTTGTTTACGCACGCATAATACATATTGTCGCGCGAATGCGGAGATGTAAATTAATTTTAAGTTTATTTTAAATTTATCTGTAAAAAAGTCATTGAAAGACACTGAATTATTCATTCTTAAAATATCATACTTCTTTGCTCGTTACTCTCACTGCGACATTACAGTTGCAAAATGGCAACTAAATTTTTGAAAATTACCTCGGAAAATTTATCTTTGGAACCGTTTGATAAATAATGTTATTTTTATCACATGAATAAACACATAATGTTGTCTGTTTGGGATATATACTCTTTTATACACATATCACACATAAATAGTAAGACTATTATCTCAGCTTTCCGTACCTGATTATTCGACAATCGATTATTCTGTTATTAAATTCCTGTCAAGTTCGGCAAAAGTGAAAGTGCGGAAATGATCACACGTTTCCAGCTCTGTTATTCTCCAAAATTATACGTCTCCTTATTCAAAAGAAATCAAGATTTATATTTCTCATAGTACATATGCGTGCATATGTGTGTGTGTATATGTGTAATGTTCATATTTTTCTATACTGAGAATAATTTTAAGTACATTAATCTTGTCAACACCTTAACAAAATAACGATAGGTTTTAGTACGTCCACTCGTTATTTTGGATATATTTGGAAGAAATTACAAAGACGTAAAAAACGATAAATTCAAGACAGGATGCTGGCCAAAAGAAAAATAGTGAACCACAAGACAGTGTTTATGGCACAAGCAGCTTAACTTCTTTTATTTTTGGCTCAAGCTGCGTCTTTTGTCACGGGATAAACGCAAAGTAACTGTACGACTATTTGGTCAGCCTCGAGCTCTTTCCCTCAGAATTTCTAAAGAGAGTAAATTTCGAATATATGTAGAGCCAATTGTAGGAAATAATATTTCAATATTGGCTAAAACTTATCAAAGCTGTCATATTGCCATTGAATATTAAGCGAAAGAATAACTCGTCGTTTATACAGTGACACACTTTTGAAGGACAAAAATTTAAATCAATGCTTTAAATAGCTTTGCACGTCAACAATTCCAAACCTCTTTCTCAAGTCGCCTTTGATGTGATATATTTTGTTGCATCTTACAGAAAGTTCTAAAAGCGCAGTACTATTTTAAAAAGTAACGTATACATCGTCCGCTACAGTTGAAAAATATAGCTTGGAACAGGCAACGAGATCTTTCTTCATGCGCGTCCTCCGGGTATTAGATTCTTATTTAAAGTTTCTTTTTAAGTATGATATTCGCGAGAGCAGTGTTCTCGAGGCTCTCTCGCTAAAGCATCCGATAAGTTCGAGATCCTCATCGTTTCGCCGGAGGTCCTTTTATGTTAAATTCAACATTCAAACACTGTACGTGACGCGACCCACAAACACACCAAACCAACATCTGTACTCCGCTGTTCCATGCAAACGCTTCGATATTAAAAATGCATCCGCGACCGGTAAGGACGATGGAAACACGTGGCTCACGTACGGTGATATATCGTAAACACGCCAATCTCGATCCATGTACATCGCGCTTCGGAGTACAGTCGCGACTACAGTCTCAACGACCTACGACACGACCTGCCCCAAAGTCGACCGTCGATCAAGCGTCGTCGAGCGAGAGATTGGCCAAGGTGACTTCGAATTTGGAGCAGAGCGAGTGGATTGCGCGGAAAATCTTCATTTGGCATTCACACGCCGACACCTTCCGTCTCCGCGGATCGCACTCCGCTCCCTTCTTTCCGCCTGCTCGAGTCCTCCTCAGTCTACCGCACCACAGTCGCCCATCGACCTTCCCTCGCACACGTCTCTCCCACCTGCACCCACCCTCATCCCCGCAGGACGGACGAGCTGCTCTGGCAGCCGGTTGTCGGCTTCCCTCCTAGGGACATGCGCAGCGACCCGCGGAACGACAGGTGCGCGCCGCGCCGTCGGTCGCGAATCGCTTAGTTTCGGGTAAGCGCACGATTCGCCTCTGTCGCTCCACCTCGCCTCGGGACTCGCCAGTCGCTCGCGACTCTGTCTCAGGCTCGGTTGTTCGTTCACCAGCCTCCTCGTCGGCGACCTTCTCTTCGACTTTTTCCTACACTGTGAGACAGCCAGCGGCCGGAAGAAAGAGAGAGAAGGAGAGAGAGAGAGAGAAAGAGATCGTCTATCGACCAGCGGAGGCAATCGCGATCACGTCCCGCGTAAATCGCAACACGGTCTTCCTTGGTCGGGGTCCTCGCCGTGGAGATCACCCACTGGGAACCCACCGTCGGAGTTGTCGACGCCCCGGAGCCGCGGTGATTACGCCGCTTATCGAGCGCGCACGTGTTCTCCACCTCCGTTTCCTACGTTCTTCCTGTCAGTCTTCCTCCCCCTCGGACAGTCTTCTTCGGTCGACCGAGACAGCTCTTCTCCGGAAACGGTGGTTGTGCTGTTCGCGTTCTCGCCCCTCGATTGAACTTCCGTCGCGTCGTAGTCGTCGTCGTCGCCGTCGTCGTCATAGTTTTCATCTCAATTGTCTGCGACGCGTTCCCTTACGATTATACCGAACGCGATTCCAGAGTGCGGCTTTACGGGCGCGGATGGTGATCTCCGTGATCCAGCGGAAACAGTGAGATCGGGCGATTGGAATAAAACAATGAGTTCCCGCCAGTTCCGTTAATTCGACCGCGATTGTGAATTACTGTGGCTATTTTGAGCGTCGTCGCGCGGTGCTCTTGATGAATGTGGTGCGCTAGGAAAGTTTAAATCCGTCGCGTCCCGATATCCCAGGTGAATCCCTCGATCATGTATCCGGGACAGGACCTCTTCTGCAGGACTACGGAAATGCGAGTGTCCGCGACGATCGTCCTGCTGCTATTCAGCTCCGTCGTTCTACGTGGAGTCGAAGGTGAGTCACTGTAATCTTGTGCTCGAGATTGGTCCACGAATAAACTGGGAATTATCGGAGTTCTGCGACCCTACGCGCGCGCGCGCGCGCGCTTCTGTGTACGTGTGCATGTGTGTGCGTGTAGGTGGGTGTGATTTATCGCGTGCGTAGCGTGTGTTCGTCTAAACGAGACACACGAACTTGCCAACAGCACAAAATCAGCATGCAATCTAGTATCTCGAAATGAGGAGAAGAACGCAAGAAATGAAAAAATCGCTCGGAATTACGGCGCCACGTCAAAATATTACAAGTTAACAAAGAGCCGCCCGTCGCAACGCAGAAATAAACTTCGCCCTGAGATCTACTTGATACTCCGTCTGAAAATCGTCTCGACGTCCATAAATAAACGGATGTAAACGGCAATGATGCTATACGCGGGGCGGAGCTTTCTTGGTAGCACTTAGTCACTATGTGAGGCACATTTTCGATCGTCGAGCAAATTGTCATGGTACGCGTCTACAAATACTCCGATATATATTTAATGATGAAGTAACAACCGAAAGAAAGAAACAACGTATCTTTGGCCTACACGCGGCGATGACGTTAGCTGAGTGTTAAAATACTCCCTCGAATATTTATTCACGCGATACCGCTATTGATTTTCTCGTTGCTCTCAGAGAACAGCCCTCAATATTTAAAACCACCGCGCTGCAAGGAGGGAAGCAAAAGTACAAAAGAAAGTCGACTCTCGTATATAACGTGACGTCAAAAGTGCACGAGAAAATAACCTCGAGAATCAGGGTAGTAGAAAATATACAACGAGCCGGCGAGCAGCGTTGGGGTCCTTAATGCCTCCCTGAAGGGTTGAAAAGCCCAGTGGAAGAAGCGGGCCGCGACGGGCTCTGGGAAAACAATAATGCCCAGCGCGTGCGGAGGAACACGGAGAAAAACGCTTTTATGCCCAGGTATAATTTCCCCTGCGGAAAAGTGCCGTCGCCGCTGTCCCACCTGCGATTCAGCGAAACGAGATTTTAATGTTGCACGAATGCGAACGCCAGTGCGAGCCGGTGCTGCAGGTCATAACGTAAACTGCGGGCCTCGCGTGTTCAAGGCCGCGGAATAATACTCGCCGCCGCACAGCCCCCGGATGTATGCACGGCCATTGAAAATCAGATGAAAGGGAAAGAAACGGACGCGCGCGGTATCAGCACATCTTGAGGGGCTGCGGGAAAAATTCAAGTCGCACATATACACACACACGCGCGCGCGCCCATACGTACACGGAGCTCTCGCGTACGCCGTTATTCGATACACGCGCTCGTCATCGAACTCCCGTATCGCGTGCAGAAAGGTCGTCTGCTGATCGCGCTTCGTCGCGAATCCCGATAATGCAAGACGAACGAAAAAGCGTTTTCGCACGCCACAGTCGGTATCCGTCGCGCGCGAACGAGTAGTCGGTTACGCGCCCAGCATGCGGAGAAAGGCGGCGCGGATTGAGATCGCGGTTTTCGCAAATATCGATTATCCTTTACGAGCGAGATATGTCATTCACGGCGAGATCTTGCGCAGAAGTCGCTATTATTCGCGTCGGCGCTCGGAATTAGTTGCATCCCCGAGGTGATATTCGGACATCCGCCGCCTCTCATCCCCTGCCTGCCGTCTCAGTGACGAACCGCCTCGATTCGTATTGCTTTTGAAGTTGCTACTACCTGCGAGATTACGTATAATTTGCGCGTTCATCACTGAGAGACGTGGGTGACACTCGTAAATCGTCTCGAAAGCGCAGCAGCAGCTACACGCCGCGACGAGCTGTGCGTGCCGTTTAACGAATGATTTCGGAATAACTTGTCCACAGAGTTGCGCCTATCAAAAACTTCACCTTCCGCGCGGGCGTAGCGAAAAAGCGCTGTCACGACTTAAAAATAGCGATACGCAGCCGGCACGTCAATATATTACGCGGAGTGTGCGGTGCGCGAGGGAGCTCTTTAAATATATACCCGTCGGGAATAAATTTACGCGGACCCTATATCTGTGCTATTATACGACGCGTACGTAGATGTTATCTCGCGCAGAAAAAAAAAAAAAGAAAAATGTATAAATTGTCGCTAGTTGGTTCGGTCACCGATGTGTATCTTTGCATATAAACGACGCCCTGAAAATCACTTAACGCTATTTCGCGGCGTCAGACCCGTAACTCTCGTTGCACGAAACAGTTTTGAACTATGCGCGCGAGTATGTATCGCGTGTCGTTGATGCGTTTAGAGAAGAGTTTTACGTACCGAATATTAAGTTGCGAGCGAAATTAGCAATGAGATAATACTCGAATTTCTTCGGTCTCGGTGACTAACGAGCCGCCAATCTCGTGGAGAAACGGGTTTTAACGGAAGTGAGTATTGGATTATTTACAATTAACTCCTCTCTCGCACACACGAGAGTGTTCATCTTCCTGTCGAATGGCTCGTCGGCGGTAAGCATATACAAAGTATTCCAGGCTTATCTAATAACCTTTGAGCACAATACGCCGTATAACTTGGCAAACACTTTGGCAAAATTAGTTTACGCCGCTATTTCCCGATGTTGCCTTGAAATAAAGCCTTAAATACGTTACATAAGATCATGCCCGTAGCACTTGCACGTCGTGCGCGCAATTACGTCGGAAATACCTCAAATTCTAGTAATCTGGAGGCACGTCACGTGTTGGCGAAGTCCCAAGGAAGTTCTAAATCCGTGACCGCTTGCTCACAGGAACTAACAAATATAATACGATAGGCCGCGAAGCGCGTTCGCGCGCTAATGTGGCGAACGCACAGGGGAGGCGAATGCAGCACAGAGGCTTTCTAAAAGCGGCGCAGAGACCACTTGGAACGCGATATGTCGCATCCGCATAGCGATAGTCCGCACAAGCGTGCGGAGTGGCGCGAATTACGAGAGTTACGCGTTATTTGCTGTTCGGTAACACGCGGAATTAAGAGTTGGGACACGTGTCAAACGCGATAGCAGCGCGCGAATTATTAAAGAGAGGCGCAAACATCGTGAATTTGACGTCAGTCGAATAGCAACGTTAGAAATTCGACCTCCTACGACCGGTCGAATCTTCCGTTGAATCGCGATCGAGCCTCGATAAACACTCCATGATCGGACGTTTCCCACAAACGTGAGTAAAAATGTCGCGCTCAAGTGTCTGAAACGAACACGCCTCGATTACCTCGAAATCGCGAAGAGAACTTTGTTGTATCATACATATAAATCATTATTAAATTCGATTATAGCATTTTAAATGAATAGAACGCGGCGATCGCGGGAAGATACATACAATTCGATATGTTTAATGCGTGTACTCTGTTGGAGTAATTCCAATAATGAGTATACGGTTATTACGTAGCCAGCAAAAACTGTTATTCTAAATAGAGCGATTCGATTCAGCGAATATATGGATTTATCATCGTAATATCCTCTCCGTGTTTGCGGTCGTGTACTCGTCCAATGCTTTTCATACATGTCTCTGCAATATTATATCACGCGGCTTTGCAAATGCGAAAAAACGTTTTTTTCCAGATTCCAACTCGAGGTACTTTTTATTTTGTTCTGTTTTTTTATTTTTTTCGCACACAAAAACACACACAATACCGTGCCAATTCGAATTTTTATGAACAATAAACGTGCACTAATGAGATCTTCTAAAACTTTTGCTTTATACGCGTTTATTTCTTTGATCTTTAAACGCGCTCCATTTATAATTTTCATTTGCGGATGCTGTGTGTCCCGGAACAATAGAAAATTTCCATTTTACGTCGATTCGAAAAGAGTAACTGAAAATTCGGGAGAACTGTTAAAGTGACATTACCCACATGTACGAACATATGCAAATTCTACCTTTTCACATTTTCTATGCATAGAAGTTTCCTGATATTTTCTGAACGACCACACCCACACGCTATATCGTCACAGGAACTGGCGAGCTTAGCGGCGGCCATAAGTACAACGAATATCTTTTTCAGGATACGCTCCAACTTTCAAGTTTCGTAAAAAATGTAGGAGCTCTGGCGAAAAATGTGCGGGCGGATACAGAAATACGGAAACGCGCCTCGCAAGCGCAATTATCTCAGCGGTGTCCGGTTGCGAAGAAGTATGCGGTAACGAGAAGTGCACAATATATCTGACCGGTCGCGAAACAATCAAACTTGAATGAGGAACGTATGCACGCGGTTCTCCTGTGTACGCGATGAAAACTATTTCCTAAAAATGATAACGAGTCTCGACCGAGGAGCTGCGCAGCGATACGAAATGAAATTCCCGCGAGAGAGCAATACTCGTTTTCATCGACAATCCTCGTTTTTACGCGCGTCGCTTACGCGTTGCTGCCAAATACGCGGTTAATTAATTAGGAGAGTCTCTGTTTGCAAATTGTCGCGCGTTAATATTGAGAGCAATCTCTTCAGTGTCTCATAATAGAACACTGGTTTATAATTGCATAAACTGCGGCGAATCGTCACATATTCTCGCGCGAGCGTGCTGTACAACGTCATTCGCGCGCTATCACGCGCGAACGGCACTTCCGGGCGACACAAGCGAAACGCAATACGTAAACCTGGGGCTTTTGTCAGAGATGGTTTGTCACAAATTTCGTCCCGGACTTTGTCTCCAGCAGCTATCAAAAGTTCTGTTAACTTGCGCAAAAGTTTTATCAATTTACATTCAAAGGATACCGTCGGGAGATATTAATCACAGTCACGTTGTGAAAGGGGGAGGGGGAGAGCAGGGAAGAGAAGCCGAGGAGAGAGGGGAGAGAGAAAGAGAGAGAGAGAGAGGCTGGATATCTAAATACTTACTTCTCGTTGAAAGTTTTGCATAAAAGTAAGCACAAGTACGAATTTCCTCAGTAATATTGCCGCGCAGTTTTTTTTCGAACGCACTTTAATAAGATACTTAACGGAAATACCGTCCATTGCCGTGAAAGTAGCGGGACATTCGGAATAACTACGTGCGAACCAACGAACCGTGAACAAACGGTGTCCGGAAAT